TCATGGAGTCCCCAGGCTGACACACCAACTGCATCACAAAGCCAAAGCTTCCACTCTTTCTTTCCCAAGGGTATGGGCTGCTATTTCCTGTTTTCAGACCAACCTCCCGAATGCCAGCCACACTCACAAAATTGCATTCGGGCAAAGATTCATCACAGAAGAAAGGTGATAGCTCATAAAGCTCTTGCTGCCCAAGGAGTCTCCAGGCTGACAAACCCTCTGAGCCACAAAGCAAAAGTTTACAGGCTTTCTTTCCTGGCGATAAGGGCTGTTGTTTCCTGTTTCCAGACCCACCACCCAAATGCCAGCCAGACTCACAAAGTTGCATATGGACGAAGATTCCTCCCACAGCAAAGGTGCCAACACAGAAATCTCTTGCTGCCCAAGGAGTCTCCAGGCTTGCAAAACAACTGCAATACAAAACCAAAGCTTCCAGACTTTCTTTCCTGGCCATAAGGGCTGTTTCCTATTTACAGCCCTGCCTCCCAACTGCCAACCAGACTCCCAGAATTGCACATAAACAAAGATTCCTCCCACACCAAAGGTGACAGTACAGAAAGCTCTTGCTCCACACGGAGTCTCCAGGCTGACAAACCAACTGCACCATAAAGCAGAAGGTTCCAGGCTTTCTTTCCTGGGGATAAGGGCTGTTGTTTCCTGTTTTCAGACATGCCTCCCAGCTGCCAGACCGACTTCCAAAATTGCATACAAAGATTCCTCTCACAGCAAAGATGCCAGCACAGAAAGCTCTGACTCTCCATGGAGTCTCCACGCTGACAAACAAACTGCACCACAAAGTCAAAGCTCGCAGTCTTTCTTTACTGACTATAAGGGCTCTTGTTTCCTGTTTTCAGACATGCTTGCCAACTGACAGCCCGACTCCCAAAATTGCATACAAACAAAGATTCCTCCCACAGAAGAGATGCAAGCACAGAAAGCTCTTGCTCTCCATGGAGTCTCCAGGCTGACAAACCAACTGCACCACAAAACCAAATCTTCCAGGCTTTCTTTCCTGGGGATAAGGCCTATTTTCTGTTTTCAGACCTGCTTCCCAACTGCCAGACACACTTCCAAAATTGCATGTAAACAAAGATTCCTCCCTGACTAAAGTTGCCAGCACAGAAAGGTCTTGCTGCCTATGGCGTCTCCAGGCTGACAAACCAACTGCACCACTGTTATGGGTTATAAATCTGAGAGAGGAATTTTTCCCTTCCCCTGCTTTCCCTGTAAGAAAAAAGAGAGTTTGAAGGGGGAAGAGAGTTTATTAGCCTTACAAAGGAACTGGTTGATCTGTTTAATGGGTGATTAACTGCGGTGAGTGGCCGGGGCGGGGGGAGCGGGTCGGGGGGCCTGGACCGGGGGGCTGGTTCGGGTCGGAGGCGAGGAGGCAAGCTGGCTCCCTTGGTGCACACAGGCATTTTTGGTGAGGGGGACTGGAGGTCTGGTTTTCTTTTTGGCTGTTCATCCTGGTCAGCTCGACTTCTCATCCTGTTGGCTTCAACCTGCCTGGATGCCCCGCTCCCCGGAGCTGCTGTGCCTCAACGGAGAGTTTGCTTGCCCGCGGGAGAGGAGGGGGAGTTTTTGCTGAGACACCACCACCTGAGACTGCGGTGAGTCCCCAGCACTTGGGACAGCGGTGAGTTCCCGTGGGAGCGTACTGCCTGCCTTCCTTTTCGTTCCCACAGGAGTGAGGACCCCCCCCCCCCCCCCCCCATCTCCTTCTCGGCTTCCCCACGCGGTCTGGGACCGCTCTCTCCAGCCCCTCTTCCCGCGGGGTGACTGCCGGAGCCCACAGCGCCCCTGCCGACCACGACCAGGTACTGGAGGTCCCGCACCTTCCAGTGATCCCACAGCGCCCCCTGCTGACCACGACCAGGTACTGTAGGTCCTGCACCTTCCAGCGATCCCACAGCGCCCCCTGCCAACCACAACAGGGCGCTGCAGACCCTGCACCTTCCAGATATCCAACAACATCCCTGGTAGGCCACAATTAGGACTGTGCTAACGGTCAGGGGAGTATTCATTAGCCTTGTTGTTGTTATTGTTGTTTCTTGTTACTGGTTTTGCCAACATACATATATCTTTTAATAAAGAGTTGTTATTTCTTCTGTTTTTCCACATTTTCCTTGAGTAAAGCCCCTTAATTTGACAATACAATTGCAGAGAGAGAGGAGTTTGGTCTACCTCATAACTCATCCTCTTTAGCAAACAGTCGAGTCTCACTCAGACTGCGACAACCACAAAACCAAATCTTCCAGGTTTTCTTTCCTGGCAATAAAGACTGTAACTTCTTCTTTTCAACCCTGCCTCCCAACTGCCGGCCCGACTTCCAAAATTATCTACGGACGAAGATTCCTCCCACAGCAATGATACCAGCGCAGAAAGCTCTTGCTCCCCATTGAGTCTTCAGGCTGACAAATCAATTGCAGCACAAAACCAAAGCTTGCTGGCTTTCTTTCCTGCAGATAAGTGTAGGGTGAAGTCACAGCCCCACAACTGAAGTTTGACGGTTTTGGAACATTATAAAGTGATGGGCCCTTTTCCATGGGAGCAGTAGAGCTAATTAGATAGTTCCCATGGACACAGCCTTGAGCTGTGTGGCTGAGTGCAGGTGCTGCATTCCTGGATGTTGTTGTAAGAAAATGTTTGTAGTGTATGTGTGTGGGAAAGTGGAACTTAGCACCTAATAAAAAAACTACCTTCTCAGTGTAGCGGGCAGACATCTCTCTGGCTCTTCATCCTAGTGTGTGTGTGTCACGTGTCTTTCTTCCCCCCCAGGACTGAGGCCTTCAACAGATACCCAGCGACAGTTGGTGCCCGTGTGAGGACCAGACGAACAGAAAAAAAGACTGTCGACTATTGCCTGGGTCGTAGGGGTATCGCGGTCGGATGCAGGTGAGCTGCAGGGCGAGGTGCAGCATGGTCTCGGTACTCAGGAGTTGTATAGCAGTGGGTTGCGCTGCAGGACCCGGGTCCGATTTTCTCTACACCTGCACACAAGTATTTCTTGGAAGGCATGAGTTGCCTGGGAGGCCTGGGTGCATTTGGCACTTGTCAGGCGCAGGTGGGCTCCTGAGCACTTCTTCTAAGTCACCATGGGGCAGACCATGTGTGCAAACGACAGACGTGTGTTTATCGCCTGGAAAGCTTTGTTACGGCGTTTTGGTGTTAGGTCGACGAAGCTAAGTTATGTCGCTTGTTACTTTTGTGTCTTCGGACTGAGAGGAAGGCTGCTTTGCCTGGGAGGACATTAGAGTTCTAAAGAAGAGGGGCCGGGCGGAGTCGAAGGGAGCCAAAGCAGGACCGGAGGTTGCGGAGCGGGGCCGGGGGCAGCCAAGCGACCCCGCCAAAATGGACGCACTGCTAGAGCCTCGGCAGCACTTGTCCAAGATGATCAAGGACAGCTCCCCATGGATTCCCAAGGCTGACAAACCAACTGCACCACAAAGCCAAAGCTTGCTGGCTTTCTTTCCTGGGGATAAGGGCTACTGTTTCCTGTTTTCAGACATGCCTCCCAACTGACAGCATGACTTTTAAAATTACATACAAACAAAGAATCCTCCCACACCAAAGGTGCCAGCACTGAAAGCTCTTGCTCCCCATGGAGTCTCCAGGCTGACAAACCAACTGCACCCAGAAGCCAGAGTTTCCAGGCTTTCTTTCCTGCAGCTAAGGGTTGTTGTTTCCTGTTTTCAGACCTGCCTCTGAAGTGCTAACCTGACTTCCAAAACTGCAAACAAAAAAAATTCCTCCCACACGAAAGGTGCAAACAAAGAAAACTCTTGCTGCCCGTGGAGTCCCCAGGCTGACAAAGCAACTGCACCACAAAACCAAAGTTTGCTGGCTTTCTTTCCTGGAAATAAGGGCTTTTGTTTCCTGTTTTCAGACCTGCATCCCAACTGACAGCCCGATTTCCAAAATTGCCTACGGACGAAGATTCCTCCCACAGCAATGATGCCAGCACGGAAATTCTTTTTCCCCATTGAGTCTTCAGGTTGACAAACCAACTGCACCACAAAGCCAAAGCTTACTGGCTTTCTTTCCTGCAGATAAGGGCTGTTGTTTCCTGTTTTCAGACATGCTTCCCAACCGCCAGACCGAATTCCAAAATTGTATCCAAAGATTCCTCTCACACCAAAGATGCTAGCACAGAAAGCTCTTACTCCCCATGGAGTCTCCAGGCTGACAAACCCACCGCACCACAAAGCCAAACCGTCCAGTCTTTCTTTCCTTGCGATGAGGACTGTTGTTTCCTGTTTTCAGCCCTGCCTCCCAACTGACAACCTAACTCCCAAAATTGCATATGAACAAAGATTCCTCCCAGACTAAAGTATCCAGCACAGAAAGCACTTACTCCCCATGGAGTCTCCAGATTGACAAACTTACTGCACCACAAAGTCAAAACTCGCAGGCTTTCTTTACTGACGATAAGGGCTGTCATTTCTGGTTTTAAAATCTTCCTCCCACCTGCCAGACCGACTCCCAAAATTTCATACAAACAAAGCTTCCTCCCACACCAAAGGTGATAGCAGAGAAAACTCTTGCTGCTCATGGAGTCTCCACGCTGACAAACCAACTGCACTACGAAGTCAAATCTTCCAGGCTTTCTTTCCTTGAGATGAGGACTGTTTTTTCCTGTTTTCAGCCCTGCCTCTCAAACGACAACCCGAATCCCAAAATTGCATGCAAACTAGGATTCCTCCCAGACTAAAGTTGCCAGCACAGATAGGTCTTGCTGCCCATGGATTCCCAAGGCTGACAAACCAACTGTAGTACAAAACCAAATCTTCCAGGTTTTCTTTCCTGGCGATAAGGACTGTTGTTTCCTGTTTTCAGACCTGCCTTCCAACGAACAGCCCAACGCCCAAAATTGCATATAAAGATTCCTTCCACGCTACAAGTACCAGTATAGAAAGTTCTTGGTCCTCATGGAGTCTACAGGCTAGAAAACCAACTGCACCATAAAACCAAGGCTTCCAGGTTTTCTTTCCTGGCGATAAGGGTTGTTGTTTCCTGTTTTCAGACCTGCCTCCCAACTGCCAGCCCAACTACCAAAATTGCATACGAACAAAGATTCTTCCCAAAGTTGCCAGCACAGATAGCTCTTGCTGCCCATAGATTCCCAAGGCTGACAAACCAACTGCACCACAAAGAGAGCTTCCTGGCTTTCTTTCCTGCAGATAAGGGCTACTGTTTCCTGTTTTCAGACCTGCTTCCCAACTGTCATCCCGAAACTCAAAATTGCATACAAACAAAGATCCCTCCCACACCAAAGTTGCCAGCACAGAAAACTCTTGCTCCCCATGGAGTCCCAAGGCTGACAAACCAACTGCACCATAAAACCAAAGCTTCCAGGCTTTCTTTCCTGGATATAAGTGCTGTTGTTTCCTGTTTTCAGACCTGCCTCCCAACGGACAGCCCAACGCCCAAAATTGCATATAAACAAAGATTCCTTCAACATCAAATGTGCCAGTACAGAAAGTTCTTGGTCCGCATGGAGTCTCCAGGCTGATAAACCAACTACACCATAAAGCCAAATCTTCCAGGTTTTCTTTCCAGCCGATAAGGGCTGTGATTTCTTGTTTTCATATTAGCCTGCCAACTGACGGTCCGTCTCCTAAAATTGCACATAAACAAAGACTCCTCCCACACCAAAGATGCCAACGCAGAAAGCTCTTGCTCCCCATGGAGTCTTCAGGCTGACAAACCAACTGCACTACAAAGCCAAAGCTTGCTGGCTTTCACTCCTGAGGATAAGGGCTGTTGTTTCCTGCTTTCAGACCTGCTTCCCAACTGCCAGAAAGACTTCCAAAATTGCATACAAAGATTCCTCCCACACCAAAGTTGCCAGTACAGAAAGCTCTTGTTCCACATGGAGTCTTCAGGCTGACAAACCAACTGCACTACAAAACCAAAACTTCTAGGCTTTCTTTCCTGGCGATAAAGGCTGTCACTTCTTGTTTTCAGACCTGCCTCCCAACTGCCAGCCTGACTCAAAAAATTGCCTATGGACGAAGATTCCTCCCACAGCAATGATGCCAGCACGGAAACTCTTTTTCCCCATTGAGTCTTCAAGCTGACAAACCAACTGCACCACAAAGTCAAAGCTTGCTGACTTTCTTTCCTGGGGATAAGTGCTGTTGTTTCCTCTTTTTAGACCTGCCTACCACCTGACAGACTGACTCCTAAAATTACTGACTCAGAAAGATTCCTCCCACACCAAAAGCGCAAGTACAGAAACCTCTTGCTGCCCATGGAGCATAAAGGCTGACAAACAAACTGCAACTCAAAGGCAAAGCTTCCATACTTTCTTTCCTGGCAATAAGGGCTTTGTTTCCTGTTTTCTGACGGACCTCCCAACTACCAGCCCGACTTCTAAAATTCCATATAAAGAAAGATTCCTTCCACAAGAAAGACACCAGCACAGAAACCTTTTGCTGTTCATGGATACCCCAGGCTGACAAACCAACTGCAACACAAAGCCAAAGCTTGCTGACATTCTTTCCTGCGGATAAGGACTGTCATTACCTGTTTTCAATCTTGCCTCCCAACACAGAGCACGACTCCCAAAATTGCACACAAACAAAGATTCCTCCCAGACTAAAGTTAACAAAACAGAAAGCTTTTGCTGTTCATGGATACACAAGATTGACAAACCAAATGCAGCACAAAGCCAAAGCTTACAACCTTTTTTTTCTTGGGATAATGGTTGTCATTTCCTGTTTACAGAGCTGCATCCCAACTGCAGACCCGACTCCCAAAATTGCATACAAACAAAGATTCCTCCCATACCAAAGATGCCAGCAGAGCTTGCAGACTTTCTTTCCTGCAGATAAGGGCTCTTGATTCCTGTTTTCAGCATTGCCTCCCAGCTGCTAGCCTAACTTCCAAAATTGCATACGGACCAAGATTCCTCCCACACCAAAGATGCCAGTACGGAAACTCTTGCTCCACATGGAGTCTCCAGGCTGACAAACCAACTGAACCACAAAGCCAAAACTTCCAGGTTTTCTTTCCGACAGATAAGGGCTGTCAGTTCCTGTTTTAGGACCTGCCCCAAGATTGCCAGCCTGACTCCTAAAAGTGCATACAAACAAAGATTCCTCTCACAGCAAAGGTGCCAACAGAGAAAGCTCTTGCTGCCCATAGATTGCCCAGGCTGGTCCACCAACTGCACCAGAAAGCAAAAGCTTGCTGACTTTCTTTCCTGGCGATAAGGACTGTTGTTTCCTGTTTTCAGACAGCCCGACTTCTAAAATTGCATACAAACAAAGATTCCTACCACACTAAAGGTGAAAGCACAGAAAACTCTTGCTCCCCATGGAGTCTCCAGGCTGACAAACCAACTGCACCACAAAGCCAAAGCTTCCAGATTATCTTTCCTGCAGATAAGGGTTGTTGTTTCCTGTTTTCTACCCTGCCTCCACATTGCCAGTTTAAAAGGGAAAATTGTATACAGATGAAGATTCCTCCCACACCAAAAATGCCAGCTCTTGCTCCCCATGGAGTCTCAAGGCTTACAAAACTACTGCACCACAAAACCAAAGCTTCCAGACTTTCTTTCCTGGCAATAAGGGCTGTCATTCCGGTTTTCAGACTGCCAGACTGACTCCCAAAATTGCATAGAAAGATTCCTCTCGAGGCAAAGATGGCAGCAGAGAAAGCTCTTGCTGCACATAGAGTGCCCAGAATGACACATCAACTGCACAACAAAGCCAAAGATTCCAGAATTTCTTTCCTGCAGATAAGGGTAGTCATTTCCTGTTTTCAGCCCTGCCTCCAAATTGCCAACCCGACTCCCAAAATTGCATACAACCAAAGATTCCTCCCACACCAAAGGTGACAGCAGAGAAAACTCTTGCTGTTCATGGACGCCCCAGTAATAAGGGTTGTTGTTTCCTCTTTTCAGCCCTGCCTCCCAACTGCCAGCCTGATTTCTAAAATTGTATATAAATAAAGATTTCTCCCTCACCAAAGACGCCAGCACAGAAAGCTCTTGCTCCCAATGGAGTCTCCAGGCTGACAAACCAACTGCACCACAAAGCCAAAGCTTCCAGATTTCTCTTTTGCTGGCAGGGGGAGACTCCTGAATTTTCCTTCAGGGCACACGCTTTTGAGAATGGTCGATGGGCACGCGAAGTAGAACATCCCTCCGGGCTCAGAAGCCTGGGTCAGCTTCTCCTGGTCTGTTCTGCGGAGCATCCCTACTGGCAGCAGGAGCACTTCTGCTGATGACAAAGACCACTTGGGCTTTTGTCAGGGGCTGTGGCACCAGTGCTACGGCGAGGCAGTGCATGGGAGAAGCACCTTCCCCAGAGAAAGTTCGGACGTGGCATGGCATCTCCCACCTGCTTTGAACTTCATGGAGATGCAGCCTCTGTGAGAAGAGCTCTGCTGTGTCCCTCCTCCTTCTCCTCTTGCTCAGAGGACTGGGGAACAGCCTGTAACCCCTGCACTGGATGGGCTGGAACCAGCACATCTGCAGCAGGTTGAGGGGCACTCAGAGGAACAACCAAAAGGTTCATTCTCTTCCCCGCGGTCCCCGGCCACCAGTCGTGCGCACCGAGCAGAACCGCGACCAACCCCACTCCCCGCCAGCACTGAATGAGCCGCTCCGTCGCCCGGCCTCTCGTTGTTCCCGGCAGCCCCGGCTCTCGGCTCCGGTCGGACCGCCTCCTCTCCGCCTCCTCTCCCTTCTCTGTCTTCTCCCTCCACTGCCCTCCTCAGCCAGCTCTACCCCGGCACTGGACCCGGCCTCCACTTCGCTCTAACTCTCGTCAGGTGCAGGTCGGATGGGCACGGAGACACTCCTGAATTGTGCTCCAGGGCACACGCTTTTGAGAATGGTCGAGGGGCACGAGAGGCAGAAAATCTCTCTGGACTCAGCACCTCGAGTGAACCTCTCTTGACCTGTCCTGGGAACATCCCTGCTGGCAGCAGGAGCACTTCTGCTGTCGACAAAGACCACTTGTTGTTTTGTCAGGGGCTGTGGCACTGTGCCAACAAAGGAGAGATGTGAGGGAAGAGATGTTGGCGGTGAAATAAGCTCATGGTCTGTCAATCTTGAGCTCCCCGACACCAACCCGCTCGCCTGCCAGCCAGCCCGGCCCTGCTGCCTCCGCGGTGCAGAGCCCAACCGGAGCAGAGAGCCAGGGTTGCAGGGGACAGCGAGAGGTTGGGTGGCGGATCGGCGGATAGGGCACCTGGGGGAGCGGGGCTAGAGGCACTGGCCGCGGTTCTGCTCGGGGCGCGGAGCTGGCGACCTGGGACAGTGGGAACCGTGACTGGGGTGGCCGTGCAGGTCCCTCGAGGCAACCGTCCTGCCTGACAGTTTCTTCACAGTGCTCTGCCTCCGATCTGTCCTCCTGTCCGTCCATCCCTCTTCTCCATAAAGCATTCCCTCGGAACGCTCACCGCTCTTTTCTTTGTCGAGTCGTTCCTGTTTCCTTGCTTTACTCTCTGTCCTTCAGACAACTCATACAGTCTGTTCTTTTAGTAGTAGTGAAACGCCCTTTTTTCATAGGGGCACTACATTGATCACCTGTAGAAACAATTAACCGAGTTGGGTGTTTGGGAGGCAGGGCTGATAACAGGAAACAAAAGCCCCTATATGCAGGAAAGAAAGCTTGGAAGCTTTGGCTTTGTGGTGCAGCTGGTTTGTAAGCCTAGAGACTCCATTGGTAGCAAGAGCTTTCAGTGCTGGTATCTTTGGTGTGGAAGGAATCTTTGTTTGTATGCAATTTTGGGAGTCGTGTTGGCATTTGGGAGGCAGTGTTCAAAACAGAAAAGAACAGCCCTAATCCCCAGGAAAGCAAGCCTGGAAGCTATGGTTTTGTGGTGCAGGTGGTTTGTCAACCTGGATACTCCATTGGCAGCAAAAACTTTCTGCACTGGTAACTTTAGACTGGGAGGAATCTTTGTTTGTATGCAGTTTTGGGAGTCGTGGTGGCATTTGAGAGGCATGGTTCAAAACAGGAAACAACCTTAATCCCCAAGAAAGAAAACCTGGTAGCTTTGGTTTTGTGGTGCACTTGGTGGGCCAGGCGGAGCGCTCCATTGGCAGGAAAAGCTTTCTGTACTGGTGACTTTAAACTGGGAGGAATCTTTGTTTGTATGCAATTTTGGGAGTCGGGTTGGCAGTTGGGAGGGATATCTGAAAACAACACAGAAGACGGCTCATCTGCAGGAAAGAAAGCCTGGAAACTTTGGTTTTGTGGTGGAATTAGTGTGTCAGCCTGGAGACTCCATGGGCAGGAAGAGCTTTCTGTGCTGGTAACTTTAGACTGAGAGGAATCTTTGTTTGTATGCAATTTTGGGAGTCGTGTTGGCATTTGGAGAGATATCTGAAAGATGAAAAAAACAGTCATTATCTGCAGGAAAGAAAGATTGGAAGGTTTGGCTTTGTGGTGCAGTTGTTGAGTCAGCCTGGGGACTCCATGGGCAGCAAGAGCTTCTTCTCCATGTACCTTTGTTCTGGGAGGAATCTTTGTTTGTATGCAATTTTGGGAGTCGTTTTGGCAGTTAGGAGGCAGGGCTGAAAACAGGAAGTAACAGCCCTTATCGGCAAGAAAAAAACCTGGACGCTTTGGCTTTGTGGTGCAGTTTGTTTGTCAGCCTAGAGACTCCATGAGCAGCAAGAGCTTTCTCTGCTGGCACCTTTGGTGTGGGAGGAATCTTCTTCCGTATGCAATTTTGGGAGTCGTGTTGGCAGTTGGGGGAAAGGTCTGAAAACAGGAAACAACATCCTTTAACCCCAGGAAAGAAAACCTGGAATCTTGGGCTTTGTGGTGGAGTTGGTCTGTCAGTCTGGAGACTCCATTGGCAGGAAGAGCTTTCTATGCTGGTAACTTTAGACTGGGAGGAATCTTTGTTTATATGCAATTTTGGGAGTCGTGTTGGCATTTGGGAGGCATGGTTCAAAACAGGAAACAACAGCCCTTTTCCCCAGGAAAGAAAACCTGGAAGCTTTGGTTTTGTGGTGCAGTTGGTGTGTCAGTCCGGAGACTCTATGGGCAGCAAGAGCTTTCTGCGCTGGTAACTTTAGACTGGGAGGAATCTTTGTTTGTATGCAATTTTGGGAGTCATGTTGGTGTTGCCCGTAACCAAAACACAAACCAACAGAGTGCCGGTTTATGCGGTGCTTTATTCTGGGCCCAGGGAACCTGGGGACTCACGTCCCAAGCCAGGATTCCGAAGACTCTCATTTTTCATACAGCTTTTATAATCTCACACAAACATGTTTACATGCAACTTCTCCATGAAAACAGTTACTCTTAGTTACACACAGCAAACCAGGTACAGTTACAAACAAACTCATACTTCATTCTGATAACAATTAATGATCATCTACTCTAATCATAAATCTGCTTAAGTTGTCTTACCCCTAGAAACTGTTTAACAGACTCTTACCACATCCTAGGTAACAAATCATTATATACATGCTTGACTAAATCCTTTGATTCTCATTTCCACTTCTTCAACACAACACTCCATGCTCACAAACAAGGTTTCTAACTAGGCCTACTCTTCTACTAAGCCTTAGCCATTCTACTACTAATTTAAATCGCCCTGTAACATTGGCAGTTAGGAGACAGGTCTGAAAACAGGAAAGAACAGTTCTAATCTCCAAGAAAGCCAGGAAGCTTTGGTTTTGTGGTGCAGTTGGTCGACCAGGCTGAGCACTCCATGGGCAACAGTAGCTTTCTGTGCTGGTAACTTCAGACTGGGAGGAATCTTTGTTTGTATGCAATTTTGGGAGTCATGTTGGCAGTTGGGAGACACGGTTCAAAAAAGGAAAAAACAGCCC